ATCAGAGTTCTGCCTTGGTGAGTGAGGATAGGAATTGTATTTCCCTTTGCCTTGATAAGTATTCTACAGCTCACCTTAGATCCCACGGGGCCTCCTCACCTTCTTCATGTTATTTGTCATCTCACTAGACATGTGATTTGATGGCCTCTGTCCATGACAGAGTTTTCTTATCATCAGGATTTTTTATTCAAGTCAATGGTATCCCTTCCTGCTGCCAGAGGCTTATTCCTACATGGCAGACACTGTTTGTTGTTCCCAGTGCTCTTTGCCCTGGTTGAATACCCAGACATCTACCTTTCCATTTCCCTATACAGACTGCGTGAGTATTTAGTGCTGGCTAAATGGGCCAAAAGAAGATTCTACTGAGATGTTTCTAGGAAATTTCTCCCCCTCTCCCCGCTTAAAGGATGAAAAAGTTTTTCTCTTTCTTTTTTGTTAAATTTCTTAAATCTAAAATCATGATACTTGGAGATTTGGCATCCAGATTCATCATGAAGGGAATGGTAAAGAATTGTGAAAAAGCCAACTCAAAGACTTAAAATTTTGAGCAACTGAATTCACCAACTTCAAATTGCTTGTTCTCTAGTCTTCTACTTGAGTAAGAAAATAATTTCCTCAACAGGTAAACTACTGCCATTTGATTAAAAAACATCCTATTGTCATATATATTTCAAAAGAGATAATCATTGTTTTCTAAAGAATTCTCACACCCCCGTACAGAAGTGTCATACAGTGTCACATTTTAAGAGTGGAGGGGATTGTCACACAAGAGTGAATACAGAAGATTTGACCAGGGTGGCGGAGTCAGGAAACCTGTGGCACTGGGAACTATTGAGGGAAAACAGATGTTAAATCTGGAGAAGAGATGGTTTGGAGGATGTGAAAACTGTCACTAGGTATTTAAAAGGCTTTAACACAAAAAGGGCAAAACTGTTGTGAAGATCACACAGATCAGATAATAAACTGATTCAATTTTTGTTCCTCTCATTTCAAACATTGAGTGTGAATACGAATAAATGGTGAAATAAAAACAAGGAGGAAGAATTAGAAAAAGGATAAATTCAGAGCTGCCACAATGGCTTAGATAAAACCACAAAGGGAATACCACTTTCATTTCTTGCATGGGATGGGTGCTTTGGGGGTAGTGTAAAACAGAAAGCTTCTGCACTGTGTATCTAACTTTGGATCAATATTATACTGAGACCTTACAAAGTGATGCATACATTAAGGGAGGCAAAGAGAATAAATACATAGAGATAAAGACATAATAAAACATAGATTTTGAAATTTAAATAGGGAAAGAACAGGATGCAAAAAAAGTAAAAATGCCTCTCTATGTCAGATACTGTCAAGGCATTCGGAGAATTTAAAAAGGAATAAGACATGGTCCCTGCCCTGAAGGAGATGTAGTTCTAGTGTGGGAAGTCAAGGAATAAAGACAAAAAATACAGAAGCCTGGAACAGAATTCACTACCTAAATTTGGGGATCTAAAAGGCATGGCACTGTCCTCCTTGGCCTTGGTTCCCCAACTGTATTATGCCACCCTCAACTCAGTCAGACCATACAAATGATGGAAATATTATATTGGAAATGTGCTATAACATAATACCTGAGACTGAGTAATTCACAAAGAAAAGAAATTTATTCTGGAGGCAGGGAGTCCATAATCAAGGCTCTGACAATGAAGGGAGCCCAGTCACTGAAACGGCTAACTCCATTTTTTTCTGACTCCATCTTGTTTCTTTTCCTTCTTTCAGAGTTCTCCTGAATTTTTCACCTAGGTACCTTGGAATCAGGAACAAAAGGCCTGATTGACGAACCTCATAAAACCAAAGAAGAAAAATAATCCCCAAGGACCAGTGACCTTCATGGCACCAACAAAGCTCTGCATGACCATTCTGAGATAATGCCTGAAGTAACGATCAACCAGACCATGGCCAGACCAAGATAACCTGGACTGTTATCATGGAAACCAGTAGCCCTTGCCATTGTTTCTTTTCTACATAACACTGAGACTGCTGCAAGCAGTTTGAAGACAGATCTTAGGTCCGGAGACCTCTGTTCTTAGGGATGCCACACTGAGAACAAAGCTTCTTTCCTGCCTTCACCAGCATTCATCTCTGATTGTCTTTCCACAATCAGGGTGGTTGAGCCCAGACCATCACGTCCTGCTGGAGCTGAGGCTTTTACCCTAAATCCAGGAACAGTAGACTTAGTTTCCTGGTGAGGGCTTCTCTCTACCTCCAAGATAAATCCCATTGCTGGATCAATTGGAGGGAAAGAATGCTAGTCCTTACCTGGCAGAAAGCCAAAGGACAAGCTATCCATTCACAAAGGAGCCTCCATGGTCTGAGAAGTTCTTAAAAGCTCTACCTCTTAATACTATTGCACTGGCCATTGTATTAATCTGTTTTCTGCTTCCATAATGGAATACCACAAGCTGGATAAACTATAAAGTCACAATATTTATTTCTCACAGTTCTGAGGCTAGGTAGAACGTTATCAAGGTGTCAGCATTGGGTGAGGAACTTCTTGTTGTATCACGACATGGCAGAGGACATCACAAGGTTAAGAGCTGTACCTGTCAGCTCACATCAACCTTCTTGTCCTTATAAAGCCACAGTGCCATGATGGGGGTCCCATCCTCATGACCTCATATGACCCTAAATACCTCTCTAAATCCTCTCCTGAAATACCATCAACAGATGAATTTGGGGATTAAATTTCTCCAAGTACGTAAACTTCTGTTGGACACATTCATACTATGATTTGAAGATTATCCAAAAAGAATCTGTTAGAGAAATAGTAAAAGCAAAGGGCAAGTGCCATTATGAAAAACCCACAGAAAATGTCTAAAGTAAGATTACTGAAACACCAAAGTAGCAAATGATTTGGGAAGACAAGGAGCAGAAAAAAATGTGACTGTCCTGGAGTTAAGATGAAACATGTATCCATTTACTGGCACAAAAACAGACATGAAGGCCAGTGGAACAGAATAGAAGACCCAGACATGAAGCCACACAACTATAACCAGCTTGTCTTTGACAAAGGAGCTAAAAATACATGATGGAGAAAAGACAGCCTCTTCAACAAAAACTGCTGAGAAAACTGGTTTGCAGTCCGCAAAAAACTGAAACTAGATCCATATTTATCACCCTATACCAATATTAACTTAAAATGGACCAACGATCTTAATATCAGATGACAAACTCTAAAGTTGGTACAGGAAAGAGTAGGAAATACTCTGGAATTAATAGGTATAAGTAAGAACTTTCTCAATGGAACCCCAGCAGCACAGCAACTAAGAGATAGCATAGATAAATGGGACTTCATAAAACTAAAAAGCTTCTGCTCAACAAGAGAAATGGTCTCTAAACTGAAGAGACCACCCACAGAGTGGGAGAAAATATTTGCCAGCTACACATCAGACAAAGGACTGATAACCAGAATATATAGGGAACTCAAAAAACTGAATTCTCCCAAAATTAATGAGCCAATAAAGAAATGGACAAGTGAACTAAACAGAACTTTCTCAAAAGAAGAAATTCAAATGGCCAAAAACACATGAAAAATGCTCACCATCTCTAGCAATAAAGGAAATGCAAATTAAAACCACACTAAGATTCTACCTCACCCCCGTTAGAATAGCCATCATTAGCAACACGACCAACAACAGATGTTGGTGAGGGTGCGGGGAAAAAAGGAACCCTCTTACACTGTTGGTGGGAATGTAAACTAGTACAACCACTCTGGAAAAAAATTTGGATGCACTTAAAAAGCTAACCATTGATCTACCATCTGATCCAGCAATACCACTCTTGGGGATATACCCAAAAGAATGTGATACAGGTTACTCCAGAGGCACCTGCACACCCATGTTTATTGAAGCACTATTCACAATAGCCAAGTTATGGAAACAGCCAAGATGCCCCCACTGCTGACAAATGGATTAAGAAAATGTGGTATTTATACACAATGGAATTTTATGCAGCCATGAAGAAGAATGAAATGTTATCATTTGCTGGTAAATGGATGGAATTGGAGAACATCATTCTGAGTGAGGTTAGCCTGGCCCAAAAGACCAAAAGTCATATGTTCTCCCTCATATTCGGACATTAGATCAAGGGCAAACACAACAAGGGGATTGGACTTTGAGCACATGATAAATCAAGAACACACAAGGAAGGTATGAGGATAGGTAAGACACCCAAAAAACTATGTAGCATTTGTTGCCCTCAATGCAGAGAAACTAAAGCAGATACATTAAAGCAACTGAGGCCAATAGGAAAGGGGACCAGGAACTAGTGAAAAGGTTAGTTCGAGAAGAATTAACTTAGAAGGTAACACACGTGTAGAGGAAAGTCAACTCCCTGTATAGCAACTAGCAAAACTCCCTTTTCTCAACTAGCAAAAACCCTTGTTCCTTCCTATTATTGCTTATACTCTCTCTTCAACAAAACTAGAGATAAGGGCAAAATAGTTTCTGCCTCGTAGCGAGGGGGTAGGGAGGGAAAGGGAAGGGATGGGAGGGTAAGGGAGGGGGCGGAGGGAAGGGAGGAGAAATGACCCAAACATTGTACGAATATAATAAAAAAAGAAAAAAAAAGAAACATGTAACCATTCAACATAGATATGAATCTACAGATGAGGAATTCTCTAGGTTTTCTAAGTGGGTGTGGAAGAATCTAAGTGTCAAGTACCTTCCGTATCTGTGCATCTAAACTTGGAGTCAGTGAAACCAACTTTTGCTACTCACTTGCTATTCACCTTTGAGCTAATACAAGAATAATAATAATAATAATAATAAGTAGTAGTAGTGGTTGTGGTGGTTGGTGGTAGTGTAATAACAATAGTAGTAATAACTATCTGCTGTCAGTTTTATGGGAAGGTATGAGATAAAAGTGTGAAAGTGTCTAACATAGTACCTGACTCAGGAGTAAGTCTTGAAGAAATATTAGTGTAATCCAATTTATTGTACTTTATAAAGACTTTGCTCCACTTTTCACTTAGCATACGAACAAGTTCAGAGAGAAGATCTGTCATTTAAAAGTCAGCCTGTTTGAAGTTCACTCCCTGCTGCAACTAATTAGGTGGTTGGCTAATCTTTTCATGGCTGCCTGCATCTCCTGATTCCTCAGGGTGTAGATCATGGGGTTCAGCATGGGGGTCATGACTGTGTAGCTGATGGACACAGCTTTGTCCAAGGGGAAGGGAGTGTAGGGCCGGGAGTAGATATAGATACAGGGAACAAAAATCATAGACACCACGATGATGTGGGTGGTGCAGGTGGAGGCTGCCTTCCTCCTCGCCTGCCCTGAGTGGGACCTCAGCATCACCAGGATAACAGTGTAAGAGATGAGTAGGAGGATGAACCAGATGAGAACCAGCATCCCACTGTTGGAGATCATGAGGAGCTCTAAGAGGGAGGTGTCAGTGCAGGCCAGTCTCAGCACTTGGGGGACATCACAGTAGAAGTTATCCAGGACATTGGGGCCACAATAAGGCAGTGGGAGCATCAGAGCCAGCTGAACAATGGAGTGGGCAAAGCCCCCTATCCAGGCAGCCATGATCAGCCCCACACACAGTCTAGTGTTCATGATGGTGACATAGTGGAGGGGCTGGGAGATGGCTATGTAGCGGTCATAGGCCATCACTGAGAGAAAGAAGACAGTCCCACCTCCCAGGAGGTGGAAGAAGAAGATCTGGACCATGCAGCCCTGGTAGGAGATGATCTTGGTCTCATGAAAGAAGTCCACTAGCATCTTTGGGCAGGTGACTGTGGAATAGCAGAGGTCTATGACTGCCAGGTTTCGGAGCAGAAAGTACATAGGCATGTGGAGCCTGGGGTCAAAAGTCACTGTAACCATGATAAGGAGGTTTCCAACCACAGTGGTGACATAGACAAGCAGGAATACCAGGAACAGGAATTTCTGGAGTTTCTGGGTCTGTGAGAACCCTAGGAGGATAAACTCTGACACCCATGTGATGTTCTGTGATTCCATGAGCTTTTCCCCATGTGCCTAGAGAGAAAGCATGCAAAACAAAGTCATGAAACTAATCATTTTTCTTTGTAGTGTCAGGATTGAATGATCATAATTATTCCAATTGCAGCTTAGGAGAACCTTCGTGAAGATAAATATACCCCCAATACTCCCACAGTTTTATGTCCTTAACCACACCCTACACAACACAGGTATTCATGGGCAAAAAAGTACCTCCTACCCACTGGACTAGTGCATGGGTTTATGTTTAATTCTTTTTCATATCTACTGTGCCCAATATGATGCCTGTGAACCACAGAGTCCACAAATTTACCTGCATCAATGAATGAATGAATGAATGAATATGTCAGTATGTACCCATGACCGCAAACCTCATCAATCTTTGTGCATAAATCTTGAGAGGAAGTAGAGACTAATGATTATAAATAGATACTTCTTTGTGGCAAGAGTTTAAAAGGCTTTATAGGGCTCATTTCTGAAGGAAGAGAGGTGTGTGTTAGAAGAAATTGTTATATACAAATTCATGTAAAAATGAGAAGAAAAGCAAGCAGATGATCTTGGGATGGTGAAGCTGGAATGGTTGGTGCATGTCACACTTTTCATGTAAATACTTCTCTAATATTTGTTGTTCTTGGCCACCTGCAGGGATAACTCAAAGAAGCTAAGGACAAACAAATTTTCCTTGGACTCTCACTTGTATGTTTAGATTTTTGCACAAATTTCCTATAATACACATATCTGTAGACACTCTTTGGGAACATTTAAAAATTTAAGAATTATGGTTTGTCAAACTCTGGCAAGATCAAAGTTTTACAAAAAATAGATGACAAGAGGAGAAAAACATTTCTTTAGTTCACTAAGTGAAAATTCTAGAAGACATTCACTTGGAAACATAAACTGAGTTTTTAAATCTTAAAACCCATTTCCTTGAGTTACACTTTCCCAGAATTATTTTCTCTAATTGTTCAGGAAAATTTTTCCTGAGATTTTGTCCTGTGAAGATGGTAGAACTTGAAAAGATCTCTCTTCACTGATTCCCACCTGATAAATAGGAGGGAGAAAATAATTGCACTGATGTTCTTACATGGGAATTGAACAAATATTTGTAAAAAGATCTCTACCAACCTCCGTGGAGAAATATAAAACAGAATTACAATACCCAAAATATTATTATGCTTGTCTTCATATAAGACTAATATTTATCCTCAAGTATTTGTGTACAAATGATGCTCCAGAAAGATGCACTATCTTTTATTCTGTGGTTTCTCCAACTCTTAGCCTAGGACCATTTGAAAAATGCCCCCATGCACAGTTGAGAACCTCTGCAAACTCTTTTCAGTGGGAAGTGATGTGATAAAACAGGGTTAGAATTGGGTTGTGCCAGCACCCCGGGAAGCCCTGAGATAGGCAGAAGTGGGGCAGATACTTCTGGAGGCATTGTGTGAGCAACACCAACAGAGGACTGTACATTTCTGTCTTTAGCGTTGTGTCCTTGCCCTGTCACATGATCAAGGTTAGACTGGGTGGGCAGCACCTTAATGGCCTGGCTTCTCTCTGAGAAAGTCCTTGATCCCTGACTCCACACCCTCAACCCTAACCTCCTATTTGATCTGTTGACTCCTGAAATACCAACTGCAAACTTTGTTGTTTTATCTTACAACCTTCATCCCTATTAAGACTACAACCACCATATGCTTTTATGTGCCTTTATCAGTCAGAGATGTGCACTATGGATGAACAGATGTCTTAGCCTTGCCTTAAAATATTCTGTGAAAGAATGCAAAGCAAAATTGGTGAACTGCTAGTAATTGCTGCAAAACAGTGATAGGTACATTACAGTTCAATGCACTACTCTCCCTGCTTTGTGGATGTATAAATACTTCCATGATAAAACATAAAATGGAAGGTCTCAGAGATACATTCTTTAGTTCTGATGCCTTTGTGTTATTTGGGCATTTTTACTTTAAATGAACTATGCATAAATCATAATGAAAGGAAAGGATTTGAAAATTTAAAAAATACAAGGAAATCTTGTCACCTAGAAACATAGGGTGCTATTTCGTAATAAAACTATACATAAAGTTTGTTTATAATTTACTAGATATAAAAATCTCACAAAATAATTATTCACAAGTGAAAAAGCTTGCCATCAATACCTCCACCCCCTCCCAAGTACCAAGTTTGTACTCTCGGCTCCTGTCAGCAATTTACCTGTTAGTGTAAATAAATTTCCATCTGTTTCTGAGAACTATTTATGATTATGAGAGATGTAATAGACACCAAGTCCTGATGCTAGGAGATGCCACCAAAATTCAGAAATGTTGAATGATTTAAAACTTATCTTTCAAAAAATGTTCATAGCTTCTTATTACCTGTAGAAAAGTAATTCAAGCTAGTATTCTTTAATTATCCAAGAACTGAAGTTAAAATATATAAGGGGCAATTCATTTCTTAAATTATTACATTGATAAATAATATTTAAAGCTTATAATACTTACCACTATTGAGAGTTTAGGAAAACAGACAAATCACTGTGGTATAATCATTCTGATGACAATTTGAAAATATGTACTAACTCTATAAATTGCTTATAATCTCTGACCCAGTAAATCTCTCTTTCTCTCTCTGTCTCTCTCTCTCTCTGTCTCTCTCTCTCGGGCTGTACTGGGGTTTTGAGCTCAGGCCGCCTTTGCTTTGTTAAGGTCAGTGCTCTACCACCGTAAGTTCACACTTTGTTTTTTTTTTTCATTTTTTCTTTTATTATTCATATGTGCATACAAGGCTTGGTTCATTTCTCCCCTGCCCCACCCCCTCCTTACCACCCTCCACCCCCTCCCTCCCTCCCAATACCAGCAGAAACTATTTTGCCCTTATTTCTAATTTTGTTGTAGAGAGAGTATAAGCAATAATAGGAAGGAACAAGGGTTTTTGCTGGTTGAGATAAGGATAGCTATACAGGGCATTGACTCACATTGATTTCCTGTGCGTGGGTGTTACCTTCTAGGTTAATTCTTTTTGATCTAACCTTTTCTCTAGTACCTGTTCCCCTTTCCTATTGGCCTCAGTTGCTTTAAGGTATCTGCTTTAGTTTCTCTGCGTTAAGGGCAACAAATGCTAGCTAGTTTTTTAGGTGTCTTACCTATCCTCACCCTCCTTGTGTGCTCTCGCTTTTATCATGTGCTCATAGTCCAATCCCTTGTTGTGTTTGCCTTGATCTAATGTCCACATATGAGGGAGACATACGATTTTTGGTCTTTTGGCCAGGCTAACCTCACTCAGAATGATGTTCTCCAATTCCATCCATTTACCAGCGAATGATAACATTTCGTTCTTCTTCATGGCTGCATAAAATTCCATTGTGTATAGATAACATTTTCTTAATCCATTCGTCAGTGCTGGGGCATCTTGGCTGTTTCCATAACTTGGCTATTGTGAATAGTGCCGCAATAAACATGGATGTGCAGGTGCCTCTGGAGTAACAGTCTTTGGGTATCCCCAAGAGTGGTATTGCTGGATCAAATGGTAGATCGATGTCCAGCTTTTTAAGTAGCCTCCAAATTTTTTCCAGAGTGGTTGTACTAGTCTACATTCCCACCAACAGTGTAAGAGGGTTCCTTTTTCCCCGCATCCTCGCCAACACCTGTTTGTTGGTGGTGTTGCTGATGATGGCTATTCCTAACAGGGTGAGGTGGAATCTTAGCGTGGTTTTAATTTGCATTTCTCCTTATTGCTAGAGATGGTGAGCATTTTTTCATGTGTTTTCTGGCCATTTGAATTTTCCTGTATAGTCACACTTCTAACCCCCTTTTGCTTTAAGGTTTGTTTTCCAAGATAGGGGTCTACTTTTTAACCTGGGGCCAGGCCTTTGACTAAGATCCTCCTACTACAGTCTCTCAGGTAGCTAGAGGCACAGGTACAGGCCACCATGTTCATCTCATTTTGGTTGAGATGGAAGTCTCACTTTTTTGCTCAAGCTGGCCTTGAAATTGTGATCCTCCCAATCTCTGCCTAGGTATCTGTTT